TTCCAAATATGCCTTCCTTTGGAATAATCTTCCGCCTGAAATTAGATTATCGCCTAAGTTACTGGTATTGAAGTCGAAATTACGCAACCATCTTACACCGGAAAGCATAAAGGCACTGTTAACGGTCTCATTCCCGAACACTCAGATTCTTGACTTCGAGAAGGGTCCTCCTGGGATTTAGTGGTAAATTAAGTGGTAACTCCTAATTATATCATTAGAAACCCCTATTTTGAATTGGTTTCTAAATCCACTGCTATCACTCCCCCCCCATAGCGACAATTTTCGCGGTTTTTGATGTCATCTCCCGCATTCCGACGTCATGCGGTCTGTTGACGCTCAGGGCGGAACCCTCCGTATTTGCCGTCTACTAGTAGTTTGGTCGTTCCTCCCTTCCCCTCCGCTCGGCTGAGCTCGATGCGTGCTGTGGCCGATCGCGTCTGGGTTCCTCTCGTCTGGCCTCTTTGACGCGGCGTACCAATCCGGCCCAGACGATCTCAATTGTGAATCCCGTATACAATGCCATTTGCAAGCCAGTCCTGTCTGACCCACATTCGTACCCATCAAGGCTGACATTTATTGCTACCCTGATGATGACCGACAACATTCCGTTATATACCGCCACCTACAGGCCAGTCCTGCTCGCTTTTTTCTGTTATTATTTTTATGGAGGGGTTTTTTTTCTCCTGTAAAATTAATCCAATCATTTTTAACTTTTTATAAGGAGTTTTTATCTTCACCCCTCAATCATCATGTTTCTCAATGGACTTCTAATTCAGAAACTAGGAATTGCATTTTGTAAAGATTCGGCCTACCTCGTCTAAAACTCGCATGCAAATTTATTTTAACTTGCTTTGATGGGATCCCGACGGGTCTTTAATAAAAATTATCTATCTATCTATCTTTAGTGCTTATTGAGCAGCTATGGCCTGCTTAGAATAACGTTCTGTGTTTCCCGTCCGGAGTGAACGACGTCGCAAATAATAGAGAAAAACAAAAATTGACACTTTTGGACAATATGCTGAATTTCACCAGCCAGAACATTCATCGGATTTGAAAAGGACTGTGAAATATATGTCAGGATATGCTGACAAGGGAACAAACAACATTTGAATCCATGATAGCCAAATGATATCGGAAAACCCGAGGTTCCATGGTGGTGTGAATAAAGCAAAACGCGATCGTGACTGCATGACTTGTCTGAGTGATTGTCGGGAGATAAAGTTAACCTCATCCGATTTATATCCCTGTATACCGAAAAGTTACTTTTAACAAGAGATTAACCATTTAGATTACCATGCCCATCGATACAATTGGCGCAACGGTCCTCACATCAAGCACTGTAACAAAATACATCAACTCGCCTGCTTTGGGTGGCATGCCCAAGAAAGTTCTAAATGAACTCGAAAACTAATCGCTTCCTCCACCCTCCGACATCTTAGAAACTTTGAGGGAGACAGGAACCCTATCTACTTACTGTGAGCAAGCCAATATAAGCCGCAATAACTCGGATCAGTTGACGAGCCAGGAAAATAATACAATGAAATAGGTCTATCATAACACCTCTTGGTCGCTGTTAGTCCCCTTATAAAACACGAAACCTCCAAATAAACCCATCTATTCTAGTTGCACGTTTACTTCACTTATTTATGTTTGCGCATATTCAGTGGGGTTGCTTTTAGGCTAATAATGTTTTCAGAGGCATGGCAGTATCATAAATTGAAAGAATGTGCCGTGCCGTTTAGGAACTAACGCAACTAGTTTAGTAATCTGGGGATAAAAAATATTCTGCCTGTCATGGACTTTAGGGAATGTTGTTTTCGTCTGGATGTAAAATAGGCTGTGAGTAGCTTCATTCGGTCTTTGGCCATAAACTCCCTTTCTAGGAAGATTTGAATAGCTCTTTTTACCAAAATCTGCCAAAAACACCAATAAATTATGTGAGTCCAGTCGTTAACTGGTGGATTCTGGACTGATTACTTAGAAGATTCTCCCAGGGCAGTCTGTTTACTCCATTAGATTTGGTGGATTGCGTGCGTCGCAACAGGCTGGACGGGTGACTTAATTCAAGTGTGATTAAACTCACGGCTCGTGATGGGACCTCGTAACTCAGGTGACCAGAGCATTAGCTGTACTCCCGCCTCCTCCTTGCTGTCGTGACTTCGAGTTCCGCCGAAATCGCCGAGTTTCTCACAATCTGATCAAGTTAATCCAGATCTCCAGACAGGTTAGCAGATGCAAGAGGTCGAAACGTCCTCTCCGGAAGCCATGTAGAAAATCCTGCAAGATGCTGTTTTCTTCGCAAAATTGCTATATAGCGTTTTTTACTAGAGCATCTATCGTTTTACGTGAGAGGCAAGTTAATGGGTCTTAAGCTGTTTGCTGTCATCCTGCTAGCTCCCTTATGTAAGGGAACGAGGTCAGCTGCCTTCCACTGTGAGGACAGTAATCCCGTTCTCATTGACAGCTCAAAGAGAGTCGAAGGAGGCTTTCACAGCTCCGTTGATGGCTGCTTAAGTATCAGCTCAGGAATTGCGTCAGGTCCAGGAGACTTATCTCGTTTTATTTTACCGTGGACACGTCTTACTTCGACGGGAACGGCAACCGTGTCAATGACGGCAGTATCTTGGCGCATTTGAAGATCCCGGCTTCCTTGACCCATTTCAAACTGCTAATTTCTTCATAGGACTCCTCCGTAAAAACCGACTGAAAAAAACTGATACACTAATTGCACTTTCGGTGGCCCTTCAAGTAACAAGTTTCCGAGGGTATCTTTTAGACACGCAGTTTCGTCCTTATGTTTTCTTCTACTGCGGATGCACCCATAAAACTTCTTGGGACATGTAACGGATTCTGCTATCAGTCGGCGCTCGAAAGAAGTTCTAGCCACCCGTTTTTTGCGACATTCATTGCGCTGCTCCCTATATTCGATGAATGTTATTGGATCTTGAAAATGTAAATACTTTTTCCACAACATCTGCTTCTTCTTCTTCATGGTCCTTTTTGTCATCAGAGTGACCCACAGCGGTCGCGCACATGATCATGTTATTTTTATTGGGCAATGGGATTCAGTTAATGAATTTAGTCAATTTAGTGAATGAACGTGCGCATATGGACCCTGCCAGCACCAGCCGCACTTGGCCGAGGCAAATGTGGTGTGGCCAAGTGTGGTGTGACTCGAGTCATCGGCATAGATAAAAGATTGAGAATGTTTAATTGCCGACGAACTATCATTTATGAAAAGCAGGAATAAAAGAGGACTTGAAACGGCACCTTTTAGGGCACCAATTGCAATATGGCTTTCATGAGAAAGTGAGGATCAAACGTAAACCTTTTGTTTACTATTAGATAGGTACAGCTTGAAAATGTCAATTAGGGGGTTTGCAAAATCCCAATGCTTCTAATGTAACCATGCGTCTTCTATTGGACACTTTATCAAAGGCTTTACTAAGATCAAAGTAAATAACGGCCACAGACAAATGATCATTACGAAGAGAAGTGAGTGGATGCAAAACGACATGTGGAACGTTACACATGATCGATCGGGTAAAAACCATGTTAGAAAAAGCCGATAGCTTTATTGGCTATGCAAAAGTCAGTACTTTTCATGGCAACAGTTTTTCAAAGGTTTTGGCGAGAGAAGGTGCTTTATAGGCATCCTGCTAGTTTTGAACACCATAACTACAGTCTCTGAAGATGGGTAGACGAAACAACTACCCCAGACGTCAGACCTCCAAAAACCCTCTCCCGGTGAACGCCTCGTTTTCTTTTAATAACAGAGGTTTTCCAGTAGTCAGGAAAGAAACAATTCTCGAGAAAGATTAAAGAGAGTTTGCTAAGAAGAGGAGGAACAACTCTGGGCTGTTTAATAAGAGAGTTCGGAGTGCTGCCATTTTCTACTAAGTGCGAGTTAGTAATTTGGCCTATCAGTTTCTGAATACCCTCAGGAGCAGCATTAATGATTGTGGAGGAAGCATTAGACAGCGGAGGAGTTGGAGGGATGGGGTCAATCTCAGTGATAAAATGTTTAACAAAGAAGGCATTTAACTATTCTGCTTTTCTGGACTCCTTTGTAATGAAGTTATTGTTGGAAATAATCAAAGACGGGCTGACTTGATGACACATAGTTGATGATCTCTGATGGAAGGCCTAGGCAACATATCTAGAAGGATTCGAGCCACTGGTAGCCAAAGGCTCTCCAGGCTTATCTCGTGCGAGTCTCACTTTCGAAGCTAATCCATATATTTCAGAAACTCCTAAGTCAACCGATGATGTGCTTACGGAAGGATCCTTAAGCTGCTTTCTTAGCCTTTCACTCTGTTTTTAATAAAATATGCGACAATGTAGGAAGTGTCATTCGAGTTAAATGTCCTCAGCGGGATGAGATCGAGAAGACATTCTGTTATGCACTGTAATAAGTCGTAGCAAATATTTAGATCATTATTTGAGAGAAATATTGTGCGAATCGAGAGTGTTTGTGAAGAAACTGGAGAAACTCAAAGGGGTAAGCATCCATCCAAATGAGGTCATGGTATCTTTTGATGTTACATCCCTTTTTACTTCTATTCCCCAGGACCTGGCGATCGAGACAATTGAACTGCTACTACAAAGCAAATACGATGAAACGGAGAACCGTCTTGGACACGCCCAAATCCTTCAGGTCCTGAAGCTCTGTCTCAGGACGTACTTCACGTTCGACGGGACAATCTACGAACAGGTGAAGGGCACACCAATGGGTTCGCCGATTTCGGGATTCATCGCCGAGGCGGTCCTGCAACGGTTAGAGTCGCTGGTCTTCCAACACCATAGACCGAAATTCTGGGCCCGGTATGTGGATGATACCTTCGTCGTCATCGAACGGGATCAGGTGTTGAAATTCCAAAAACATCTCAACGCCGTCTTCCCGGACATTCAATTTACGATGGAGGAGGAAGAGAACAACCAGCTGGCCTTCCTGGATGTCCTCGTATGCCGCAAGGATTGTGGTGAATTAAAGACCAAAGTGTTCAGGAAAGCGACAAATACGATGCAAGTACTGAACTTCAACAGTAACCACCCAATCAGCCACAAACGCAGTTGTGTAAGGACGCTCTATCGGCGTGTCGAAACGCACTGCAGTGAGCCGGAAGACAAAATTGCTGAACTACAATACCTCCGACGGGTCGTCAAAGCCAATGGCTACCCGCGCAACTTCGTCGACCGGTGCATACGCAAAAGGGACGAAAGGCCTAACCGCACGGACACCAAGTCTTGGCGGGCACTTCCGTATGTCAAGAACGTTTCGGTAGCTGTCGGCCGCCTTCTCGCACCACTTGGGGTTGGAGTGGCACACAGACCGGAGGCAACCATCAGGCGTCTGATCATGAAACCGAAAGACCCACTGCCACGGCTAGAAACGTCTGGAGTCGTTTATCGGATCTGGTGTAGTTGCGGACAAAGCAACTACGTCGGAGAAACCGGAAGACAGCTCCGAACGAGAATGGCCGAACACGCGGCAGCGGTGCGCAGAAATGACGCCAGCTCTCAAGTTGCGGCTCATTCGACGAGACCCGGCCACACATTTAAATTCGATGAGGCCGAAATTCTCGCAAGAGTTGACAACCGAGTGAGCCGAGAGCTACTGGAATCATGGTTTACTGGCTCCCAGTCCATCAACAAGTGCAACGATCTTCCCATTCAATACAGCGTGCTGAGACTTCGTCTAGGCGGAGTAATTGGCCACGCGGGGAGCGCACTGGTGAACACTCTTCCCAACACCCGGGTCAACGCATCAGATGGTCGAGCAATCATCACGCCAACATCCAACGCACGTGATGAAATTGCGGCAATTATCGACTCGAATGTCGGCCATCAAGCAATGATCACCCCAAGTGTGACAATCCCGGATGAAGGGGGAAGCCGTGAACGTTCATAGGCATGCGATAGCATGGCTGCTGCATCCTATAAATACCGCAGCCCCTTGTGCAACAACCACCCGTTTCTGCTCTTTTGTCTCTGATGATGGATTCGAGTAGGAATCCGAAACGTCAGGCTAATAAAGCTCTTGTCCCGGCGATCGTGTCTCCTTCTTCAAGTGTTTGTGAAGTTTTTTACTACTTCTGTGTTAATATTAGCATAGTCGAAAAACTTCGTTTTATTGATGGCTTTGCTGAAAAGGAGTCTCGAAGACAACAATGAATTAATGAGTGATCACTTGTAAGAAGGCCACGATGAAATCCGTAAGTAAATGATAGATGCCACTGGTAAAAGTTAAATCTGATAGACTATTGTTGATGGTCGGAGAGTGGACTAATTGAGACCAGTTTGAAAGTGGACAGTATCCAGAAGCTGCTAGAATTTAAGAGTGGAAGTATGTATACCTACGGTTATCTTGACATCGAATGAAGTCTCTGCGATTTTTTAAAGGAGTTCGTATAGGCGGCTGTCATTTCCGGAGTAATAAGGGGGATTATGCACACATCCAACTAAGCCTTTCCTATTTTGTGGAAGGATAACCGGAACGAAACAGAGATTTCCAGAAAAGGAAAAAATTTTCAAGACGTGAGTCTAGTGTAAAAGTAAGGCTCTGGTACAAAGGAGACAACCACCGCCACGATTTTCAACACGGTCTTGTCGATATAAGTTGAGGCTATCTATAGTGAGCGCTGGGCCGAAAATTAAAAAGTGGGCACGAGATCCTGTCATGCTAAAAACACCTGGGTAAAACTCGAAAGCTACAGTTCTTTGCTGTGTCGTCTTTGGCGCGATTGTTCTGGAGTTGAGAGAAAATATACTGAGCGTATTCCTGAGATGCAGGTTTCGCTGATTACAAGTTATAAAAAAGGCAGAGTTAATGGCGACAAAATAAGCGGAAGGAAGAAAGAAAAGGATGGAAAGCAGAGTTGCCGCGGTGTACAATCTGTGGAAAGGTTCATACTAACGGATAGCGGTTCAGTACGGAGACATATTTCAGCAGGTTCCATGAAAAAGGATGCTAATTTGTGGGGTCGAAAAAATAGGAGACATCGAAAGAGGAAATTACACTAGTCATATCTCGTTGGCAGTTAAACATTCTTATCCTTTTATTTATGCCGATGACTCCAAATGTGCACATTCATTCACTAAACCTGCGATCCAACATTGCCTGGAGTAAATCCGTGCTGATTTGCTTGCTCTTTCATCGTAGAGCTCAAAATGACTAGCGGAATTCCCTCCAGCTAAATGTCGCTATATGTGTCGTGGATCTGAAAAACTACCCTAACCAGTGGTCTTTAGGGCACACCTGTGACTGAATGTACCCCCGTAAGGGACTCAGGTTTAAGTTACTGCAATAATCTAGATTTCTCACCACACGCCGACAGAATCACGGTCAAGGAAGCCCAGATTTGTGGCTTTATTTCTCACAATTTCTCTCTTCCTGAAAGTAAAACTATCAAATGTTTGTAGTTCCCATTCTTGAGCACTGTTGTCCATTCTTTGGTTTAATGAACGAGGCTAGTCGTTCAAAAATTGAAAATGCTCAAAGACATTTTACTAAAAGACTCTTTCACACGGCACATCCAATATTTCCTACTTAGATGGATGCCAGCCAACCAACCTATAATTTCTATGGGTTTGAAGACTGGAAACAGGCCTCTGTCTCCTCTTTCGCATTAATAATAGTTTAAATCTTCCTCGGATTTCAGCCCTTACCCATGTTAGTCGCCCATACAATCTTCGCAATTCTTCCTCGATTATTACTTTTCCCACTTCCTCCACCCCTAAGCGTCCCCTTTTTTGCTCTTAAGTGTACTTTCCTTCGGAATAAATTTCCAACAGATATGAGCTCACCAGCTTATTTACCCACTTTTAGGATAAGTCTGCGCCTTTATATAAAGGCTGACTCGATCAAGCTTCCATTTTCCTCATTCTTCCCGGACAGCTTTCTCTATGACATTGAGAAAGGCGATCGGAAATTTGGGACGCCGCCACCAAATTACCGCATTCACTCACATTTCTTTCTCTCTCCGTGGTTTCGCCTCCTAGGATCTTTCATCAGAAATTAATATTTTTTTTTTCAATTTTCCAGTCCATGTATGGTGTCCTTCACCGAACGTGATGTCTTCCCTGACATCCTCCCTAAGGAGTAGCGGGATCAGGTTGATGTGGATGCTATGAGCCGCCACCGTTTCGTTATTTGCCGAACCTCGCCAGGAATCTACTCTGTCCTCTGATATTTCGAGCTATCAGCCCCAATCAATGAGTTTCGTGGTTCTTGGTTTCATCTCCTCATTTCGGCTCCAGGCGGTCTGTTGACGATCACGGCGAGATTCTCTGTTTCCGCCGTCCGCTAGTAGTTTGGTCGGTCAGCAAAGAGGTCTTGGGATCGCGTCTCCCCCTACGGCCTGAAGTCCGCCTCAGCCTTTAACTCCCCCTCCTCGGGTGCACTCTAAACGGACAGCGACCGGCCGCTCATGGGTCCCTCTTGTCTCTCCCCCTTGACGCGGATAATTTCATTTGGTTTAGGAATTATGCCTTAACAACGTCGCTTTGCTCCCTTATACACTATCACGTGCAGACCAGCCATTTCCGAACCACATATTTATCCTCTTATGAGTGACATTTTTTTCTCAATTAAAACGAATCAATTCGCATTCACTTTGTCTTTTTCAAAAAAGGTTTTTTTCACTGCTCGATAACCGATTTTTCTATGCGTGAACTGAACATTATACAGAGTGTGTCTACGCACTACAAAATTCACTTGCAAATTTACTTTTACTTGCTTTGGTAGTACCCCAAAGGGTACTTAGAAATACGATTTCTTTATTTTTTATACGACAACTTCCTATGCGCGAATCGCCCGTAAGGGTCACTGTCTCTGGTGATGGGTTCAAGCGTGAATCCGAAACGTCTGGTGGATACGGTTTACATTTGTTTTAGTGTTAATGTCGTGGTTTAAGGTTAGGGTTAGGTTAATTGTTTGGGTTAGGGTCGGGGTTAAGACCAGCTTTAGAGTTTAGACTATGGTTGTTGTTAGGACTATGGTTACGGTTGAGGCTAAATTTTTAAGGTTTACGTGCAGGGTTAGAGTTTACTCTTCGATGTTGGGGCTAGGTTTAGTGCTGACGTTCGATTTAGGACCGAGGTCTGAGGTTAGGTTAAGGGTTAGGCAGCGCACAGTTAGAGAAAGGGTTAGGGTTGATGTTATTGCTTGGGGTTAGGATTAGTGTCAGGGGTTATATTAAGGTTTAGTTTTAGGGTTAGGCATTGGGTTACGGTGAGGGTTAAATTTTGGTGTTAGAGTCAAGTTTAGGTTGGGATCTAGGGTCTAGGTTTAAGGTTATGGTTAGGATTAAGTTTTAACGTTTCATTTGGGTTCAGGTTTAGTTCTGTGATAGTGATTAGGGCTAGGGTTAAGTCATGAACTAGTGTTAATTTTGGCGTTTTGATTTTAATTTTAGAGTTTAGCGTTTGCGTCTAATGTTATGATTTGGGATTTAGCTTAAGGATTGATTTATGTTTAATGTTTATGACCATGTCTAGGGTTAGGCTTAGCGTTATGACTAGGCTTACGTCTTGGGGCTGGAGTTAGGGCTAGTTTCTATACTAACGATAGGGTTGGGCTTAGTGTTAGCGTTAAATTTTGGGCTTAAGGTTTAGGATCGGGTTTGTGGTTTGTTACTATGGTTCAGCGTTTAATGTTTCGGTTAGGCTTAGTTAAAGGGCTAGTATTTAGGGATGAGGGTTCGGGTTCTGGCTCTAGGTTTAACCGTTATGGTTAGGGTTAGGCTTAGCGTTGGTGTTAAGGTTAGGTTCCACGTTAGGTTTTAGGTTAGAGCCAGTACTCACGTTAGGACTGGGGATAGGCCTATGGTTCATCTACTAGGGTATGGCTTGGGATTTAGTTTTCTGAATAAGTTTCTCTGGGTTTGGAGTAGGTTTATGTTTAGAGATAAGTTTGCATTAAAATCAGGGCCGTTATTTTGTGGATGCTCACCGAATGCGCGGCTCGCTCAAGTTTCTTTCTGTTTTGCGTTTCCCTCTCTACCCCGCTAGCAATTCCGCAACATCGCGGAATATAGGCAGAATACCATGGCCGATAAAAATCAGGGAGACTGTTAGCTATTCCTGCTTTGTTAGTCGTCATCATCCAGCCATCCCTACTCCGAAAATGGGGACACCCGGGGCTCGATCCCGCGACCTATTGGTCTGAAGTTCAACGCCCCTCTCCACTGGACCACGTGATTGTTGCCCTGGGGATTGCTATGGGGTATATACAATATTAGGGGCACGCTCGCAACCGAAAGGGGAACGGAATTGTGACCCAGAGTTTATAGGCGTTGGACTACTAACAAACAATTCGCGGGATCGGGTCCCAGGTGTTCAACGTCTCTGGATTGGGCATAACTGACTGAAGATGGCAAATTAGTCATAAGTGGCCATTCCAATCTCCCTTGTCTAGGTCGTTCATGCTATTCTGACAATAATCCTAACCCTAATCGTATCCCTCTCTATAAACCCAAACCTAGCCCTGACCCGTAACACTAAACCAAACCCTAGATCTCATCCCTGAACCATAAACCTAACCAAACCCCTATGCACCAAGCCTTAACCCTAGACCCTCACCCTAACCCGAACACTAACCCCAGCTGCAACCATAATTTCTGAACCGCGTGCCTAAACCCTGACTCTAACCCCAAGCCCCAAACCTTTTCTCTGAACACTAACACTAAACCCAACCCTAAAAAACCCTAAACGCTAAACCTTAGCCTCACTCCTAGCCCTAATTCTCAAACCAAAACTAAACCCAGCCCTAAGTCCAGCCATAAACTCTGAACCTAGCACTAAACCATTGCGGCAACGCCAATGGCTAACCCTACCTCCCCCCTGCCCACCCTTACCTCAATCCCGAAACCGAACGTAAGTCCGTAGACCAGTGCACGGAGTTGGTCCTGG